ATACTAAACACACAACTGACAGCTTAAGCACTGTGATTATGGGCCTACATCAAACACACCTTTCTCGTTGAGTATTCTTGAATGCGGTGAGGCGCAACAATTCAACAACCATCTCCTGCTGAATAAACTGTAGGACCATCTTCAATGATACTTAAGACTGCTTCTTAGCACAGAAATGGCCCTTGTCAAGTTTGTTAACGATCTTTTAATGGCTTCAGACTTGAGCGCTTTCATTGGCTTAGTGCTTCTGGTCCATGGGGCCATGATATTATCCTTGCTACGACCCTCGAGTCCTTTAGCTCTTATCTCCTTGTCAAAAAGGACTTTGTCTCTGTGGGTCATTTCAGTCCTGTTACTGGGTTGGTCTGCTCTCGTGTCCCTCAGGGGACTATACAGTATAAGCTTCCAGTATACACATGCTTCCAGGTGGCCAAATATTTCAGTATCATTCTGTTAATTTCCACCTTTATACAGTTGCTTCTCAGATTTAACTGCTAACCATTACGGCCTCTGCTGCCAACTGGATGTGATACTTTGCACGCATCAAATACTGCAAGACAGCTAACTGAGGTCTCATTACTTAATTCTATACATTAATTATGGAAATCAAAATCTCCAAATATGGAGATTTACATTTTGTTTTAGTTATTTTTTTAGATATTGTTCTTGACTTTCATGGCCACAAATAGCATTTTCCTTTATTTCTATTTTCCCTATTTCTGACCTCTTGGTAACTCCAGGCCTGGCAGGGCTCTCGATTCCTCTGACGCTGATGTCTTGTGCCTAAGACCAGATTATTAACTGCAGTTGAGACAGCTGTCTCCTGCTTTACACGTAAGCTCACCTGCAGATTCAGGAATATGAGCCCCTGTCTGTTGTCAAATCACACCTTAAACCTCATTCATTTAAAATGACCTGACCCGATTTTCCCCATGCACATCATCATTTTGAGTAGCTCTTTTGTTTGTATTTCAATTTTTAATGGAGATTTTATTGCATAGTAGTTTTTAATATTTTGCGGGGAAATGCACTGAGATAGTTTATCATTATTATTGATTAATTAAATGTTTAATACCTTCTGGGGCTTTTAAAATATATATTTCCATATCTCCCATGCATGTCCTGCGAGTTTGGTCTGGGGGTGAGGTAGCCTGCTGGCCAGACTGAATGACTAGAAAGAGAAGATGTTCTATTCTGAGCCTTGTGCTTTTCTGAGCCTCAGCTCTTAAAAGGCTAGTTCACATTTTCCTATTATTTTTTCAAAATAAATACCTTCCTGTTTGATCCTCACTGAGCTCCCACACACACACGTATACATTGTAGGCTCGTCTCCAGAGGATGTATTTCATGTAGAGATGAAACCAGGCAGATGGAAGTAAGGTTTAATGTGGTATGACTCACAGCTTTCACAGATCTTTAATGTTTCTGAGTGTTAAAAAAAACTCCTCATTTTTTAGAAATTAAGTGTGCTTCATCTGACTTCTAAGTGCTTTTTTTAGCTTGCGACAACAATATAAATGGCACAAGTATGAATGGAAAGGCAGGTATGCTTGCAGCAGATTAATGCACACATATTATATTTTATTTCAAGATTATGAGATGATAGCAAAGATGTTTTAATATTTTTTTTCAAAGGTATTCTTTCAGATGAACAATACTTAAACGACAGGGTGGGAACCTCCTGAACTGGGATTGTTAACACTCCTTCTAAGGCCATTTCTTTCAATAAACTCACATCTTCCAATGCAGGTATTTGATCTGTCTTGTTCAAGATAGAATGTGCTATTCCTGCAGCTTCCGGCACTATTCCCTGTAAGCGTCACTAACTTCCTTATTATCATCGGGAGACTGCAGGGATCTCTGAGGGGGATTCTCCATCTCTCTTCGTAGATGTAACATTTAACTACTTTCTGCAAAATAATAACTTGTAATGATGCACAGTGTGGAGAGGGCGTGGGAGCTGCAGTAATTGTATTTTTGTATAGAAGCACTAACAGAGCTCACATGACCCACTCGGGGAATCCTCGCCCGGAGGGGTTCGCTCCTGGGCGGGGACACGGGGGGCGCTTCTCCTGCAGGTCAGCCAGGGGGTCCCCAGGAGGACTGAGCTGACCGCTGACAGTGGGAGAGATTACCCTGACCCTCCTTTAGTCTGAGGGGGCATGACTGCAGTGGGGGGAGCAGGATTAGACTGAAGAGATACTGGAATTCTTAGCTTGCATGAGTCTTTCTCTTAGCAGTTTATCCTTTGCAAAAAAAAGCAAATAAAGCTTAAAAAATCCAAAGGAAATTTGAAAAATGACCATATGCTAGTTCACAAATGAGCAAGGCCACTGGGATAATTATATTTAAACATACGGTACTAATAGCCCTCTCACTCCTGTAACTGTACAAACCACCAGCAATAATAATGAAATTAATTCTGACTCCACATAGTGGAATAGAATGGCCCAGTGAATTTTAGTCTGAAACCTACAGCCAATCTTGTGAAACATCAAATAATCAACCAGTACATCGGGTACGGTCTTTATCGGAAGTTTCACAGATACTGAATGAATTAAATCCCCTCTTAAACAGGAGCTGGATACACTGTCAGTCTAACACGAGCTTTTAAACTGAACGCCTTTAATCGATATCAGGAGGAAGGTATAATGGATGGACACGTCGACACGTCATTTGATAACAAATCTCGAGGAATGTCTGCAAAAAAGGTGAAGAACAAATGTCAGGACAAGGTTGTACACCTCAGAGAAGGTGAAAAGAGGCTGTACAATTCAGAGAAAATGTTATATTTCACTCACATGTGGCTTCCCGTTTCTGTACCTGAATGTTGACCTGCAAAAGCCCAGATTGCGGGAAACACAGGAGAAAAGCGATAAACCAGAGAATAAAACTATGATTCAGGACAAAGCTCACACCCAGGTTTGATTGCCATTGTAAACTGCTGCAATGCACGTGGCAGAGAAGAAAATCTGTTTCATATTATTTCCACCTGAAGATTCTGTTCTTAAGACCCTATAGAGCACTTAGCCACAGCTGTGCACCTGACAGTCCTGAAGTGATTAGCTGAGGCTGAAGCAGTGCTCACTCTTGCCCTGAGTCACCAGGAGCTTCCTTGTTCCTGTTTCTGTCAGGCTGCCCCTGGGGGCTCTTTCCAGTTAGTTAATGCTCACATGCTCTGTGTCCATTTAGGACCATGTTTTTCAACTCTTTAAGTCTTCCTTTCCGAAACCGTCTGATCTCATTAGGGGCTGCCTGTCTCTGTCTAGGTCTGTCTAAACACATTTAAGCACATTAATCAAAGCTGCTCCAGAATTCTTCGTCACAAAGTCCATCCAGTCCAGGCACAGTTTTGTCAACAAGTGCGTTTATGTAAAGCATTTATAATCCACCCAGCTTTACTGAGAGATGGACCAATGTAAGCAAGTTTGAGACACTGAGAAAAAAAAATCACCACGGGCATGTTCAAGGACTGTTTGGGGATTAAAACCTCAAAAAAAAAAGTAACAAACAAATTGCATCCTTCTCTTCTGGAAACACAGAAAGAACTATTAGACATATTTCACTTCCCCCAGCAAAGTAAATTATTATTTTTTAAATCAGATGCAGCAGTGCTACCAGGATCCCAGGGCAGCAATCACAAAAGAAAAAGAAAATGGTTCCTTTTAAAGGTAAACGGCCTATTTAAGATGCAGCTGTGTGCGCTGCTCGCATTCTGATGAAGCTGCGCAAGAGGCCATGACCAGTGGGGCTTGACATCTGAATGCAAAAAGGTTTAGCTGTGTCTTCAGCTGCACAGCGCCACCTACAGGCTGCACAGTTTATATAACACTGTGTGTGCAGCTGTAGTTTCTCTGACCAGGCAGAGGCAGGGAGGGCATGGAAAACTGTGTGCTGGGACAGATACACACGGATCTCTATACAGATCAGTGTCCAGATGTGCAGTAGGGGCGGAAGAGACAAGCACTGACCTAGGGTCACTGCTGGGATGCTGTTTCCAAGTGACACAAGGAGGGGTCATGTCAACAAAATAATTCAAAATAGCCTCTCGAAACAGATGAATCGCATAAGTATGGTTTATGAAAGCAAATGAGTAAAATGAGAAGTTTTGTTTGACAGGGTAACTTTTTGCTAGATCTTTACAAATTAAACACATGTCCAGGCACCCAAAGACATATACAGCAGGAATTAAATATAGAATTAACAAATTCTGCACATTCACCTTTGCCTGAAAACTTAGGCAGGTCTGCTTTTGGAATATTTTTAAGAGTTACAGTCTTTATTTAACACATTTTCAGAATGTTTTAATAACGTGAACATTTGAACATAATATTCTAAATGAGTCCTACTAGTGTGTTATACAAATTTCACCTAACTACTAAATCTTCTTAACAATGACTGTAAAAGCGTCAAGTTTTTCATCCGAAATCCATAATCAATATTTCTGCTACATGCAGAAATAACACTCTGCAGTTGCCTACATTAAATGTGATCGTCTGTGTGTTTTGAAGTTTGTTTATATCTTTTTGAATTTCTATTGTACCTTTTCCAGTGCTTGCTAATCCTCCTATTCTTGGTATTATTTGCAAACTGAAACGTTTCCTAACTGCACCACATACTGTAGATAATTGCTAGAAATTAAGAAGAGCGGTGGTTCTTATACAGATTCCTATGGTACTCCACTACCTACTTCGCCTGGACCAGAGTCTTCATCAATTACCTATACTCCTTTTCCTACTAATTAACCAGTTCTTAATCCAAAAATGCATTACTTTAAAAACCTACTGCTTGAGATTTTAGAATTAGTATTAGAACTCTGACAAGGTAGTCAAGCAAATACTTTCTAAATACATGCTGAGTATGCCTAAAGGCCAATAGCAAACTGGAGACTTCAGGAAGGGCGCATGGTTAAAATGAAGATTGCTGTTGTTTTTTGTGTTGTTGCATGGTGATAATGTAACCTGGGGGAATTCAGTCCACGGTCTTTGTTTGGTTCTTACCTTTTTGTAGAGGCTGCGCAAATCCCTGTATTGCCACATGCTGTTGAGGACCTGAGAAGCTGCCTTCACCACCTTTGGTGAATGCCTAAGAGAGAGAACAGAAGAGGAATCAGACATTTATTTTTTTAGAATAGAACATACAGTACTGTAACTACAGTAAATCCCCACAGCTACATAGATTGGCAGTACATGTCATCTACGTTCTGAGCACCACATGCAGAAACACTTCCATATTCTCCAGGACAAACATAGCTCACCTACCCACTCTGTCTTAATGTGAGAAAGACTCATTCATTCATTATAACATATTTTAATCCAGGTTCAAAGTATGCTTCCCTTATTTCAGCAATGAATTGCTTCCTTTCCCAGTGTGTGCAGTATTATTGGCAGGAATACACAGGAGCTGCAGTACTAAATACATTGAATATGGAAGAACATTAGTCAATGGCTTCCATTAAGTCACCGGCCAGTAAACCATCCTTGTGCTTCAGATCCCGCTCCAGGAGCGCACTGGTCTCTGTGTGCAGGACTGCCTGACCGGGGAGCCAGCTGGCTCCTGCTCATGAAGCACAGCCCCCGAGACTCCTGTTCCAAGACTCTGACGCACGCTGGAGAGCAAGCTGTTGATCTGGGCAGGTAACGGCACAGATCGTGAGTGGTCCTGCGTCCACGGGGCCGACCCCCGTGTTTCCCGCGGTCCCACCCTGCTCCTGCCCAGCTGGGGAGGTGAAGAGTTCACTGGTGCTGTGGGAGAGGTGGGCAGAGGGCGCCGACCCACCGCTGGTCCATTCTAGAGTCCTCCAGAGTTTCCTCCACTCCACTACAGAGTGGTCCTGCTTCACCCTTCGTCTCTATCCAACAGGAGCCCTCAAGCGATGGCGCTGTCCTCCTTCAGCTGCGAGCAAATCTCTCAGGCCGGCCTGAATACGCTCCATTTCTAAGGCAAGTGTAAGACACCTGCTCCATCCAGCTGTACTCCCCGGCGTTGATATCCACAACTCGCAAGTACTTCGCTCCTCTGCTCGCAGGAGCATTTCTAGAAATGAATGTTGTTGAAGGGTTCCAGAAATCATCTTTCATGAAGGTGTATTCTTTTCTGGGTAGTCTTATGACAAAAGTCTTTGCAGCTAATTGATTGCGGGAGCTGTACTGTACGAGTGTGTATGCATACACAGTGAATGTGTATATTTATATACTGTACATCTAGTCTCTAATTAATGTCTCACTACTACCTACAGTAGGTCTACATTATTTGCAATGCACTTCTGAGACAGTGTATAATAATTGCTTTTAAGCAATTAAGTTAATTACTTTTAGGATTCTTAATTGAAATATAATAACATAAGTAAACTGTAATTAACTGAAGGTGCACTGTGAACAGCACCATTTATTTTAACACAGGAAAACCCTCCTCATCAAATTAAAAATATACAGGGGCTATTATACCTGGAAAGAGAAACATTTTTCTTACAAGCAGAATGATCAGCCCTCTAACTGTCAAATGCTTGACAAGAAACGCCAATTTAAGTTGATTTTTGTGTTGAATAAATACACCGGATTTATTGCAATCTCTGTAAAGAGATGGCCCTGTCAACAGAGAGCACAGATGAGGAAGAACTCGTGTTGATTCGGCCGAAGGTACTCTCTGGATTTGAAACGCTTGAAGAATAACTCCAGTTCTCCGAGGCCTGAATGGCGTCAAGCTGTTGACTGACCCTCTGATTGCTATTCCTAAGCAGCCCGATGCATAAAACTGGCTTTTGCAGAGGAAAAAATTATTCAGAAGTTATAAAAACGATTCAAAATGTATTAAATTAATAATATCATTATCAGAGCTTCACCAGAGTATCTTTAAAGTCTTGTAGTACTAGACATTGAATCACTTACTCTTTGGTATACCAAAATAAAAATTGAATGTATAGCAACTTCTAAATTACATTTAAATATGTTAAAATACAACTGATTTCCTTAAGAGACAACAGCAGGTAAAGTAAATCTATTCAGAACAAGGTCCTGCAAACTTTGCCAAGTCATAAAAGGCCATAACAAAGTGTTTATATTGAGTTCTATTCCATTTATGGTTGTCTTTGCAAAATTATGAACATGTTTAAATTAATTCTTCATAACAAGCTGAATAGGCTAAAATTGATTGCCCAGGCTAAGATTACATGGGTCGTTTTTAACATAATTTAGCTAAGCAAAACTAAACTGGGAGTGAGCCAGAAAGGCTGGCATTAAAACAAGTTTGATTGAATCAATTTAAATCTGTTTTGTCAAACAATAAAAACCTATCAACACTAATAAATCACGCTTTTGCCTTTTATTCCTCCAGCTGTGCAAGGTTTGAGTGGGATCATTTTCTACAAAATGCTTCCAAGAAATTAATGATCCTTAATATGAGTTATGCATAACCTGGAACTACAATAATTCTCTTTGTACTGTAGGACTGTGCTGTACATGGGCCTTCAATGCAAAACAATGAATAAAACAAAATATAGCTATCACATCTGATACATTTGAAGTATAATAACAAATCATAGTGTTATTGAATAGACAATAAAAGGCACAACTAATGTACCCATACAGTTATGTTATAATGATTTTTGTACGTATTAAAATATTCTGTACTGCTCAATGAGTAAAGTTGTACTGATCTTCTGTTGCCGTGATCTGTATAAGTACCTATCCAGATGAACTAACTTTAGGTATCCTACAGCCATCATTGCTTTTAACATTTACGAGGTACTTGCCTTCATGGTATTATGAATTGTGTTATAGAAAATGCACCACCACAGGCAGGGGGAGTCCTTAAAAACTGCATGGATGTCTTTTTCCAAGCAGCAGAGTCTAAATAATGCATGTGCTATTCAGGTAAGAGAGCAACAGACTGCTTGTTGAAAGCAAATGCTAGAGTATCCTAACATGAAATACTTTCAAATCCGGTTTATTAATAACACTGATATACTTTTACGCTTTGCCCACCAAAAGTGTACTGACAGAAATGTTCAAACTATTGTTTTTGCTAAACAGTAAAGCTACAAGCCAAAATCAATTATAATAATGATCGTGAGAGTAATATGAATGATAAGAACAGTTTAATTTACATCAATCCAGGCATACAGTCGACCATATTAGAAATAAAAGCTAAGTTAATAAAATCATCACTAAGCCAGTGGTTTCAAGTGACTGCGAGTATTGGGACAGAGTGGAAGTGTTGCTCCTTTGGGGCAGTATTGTATTGAATCTTCATGTGATCATCTGAGCTGCTTCTCCAGGTCTTGCCCATACATTACCTGGGGTGTTCTTAGTTCACAGATTGTTATGGAGAATATAAAAAGCACATTCAGTTGGACTTAAATCTGGAAATGGACCTGGTCTAAGTCTAAGTCTTTTCCACTTTTTTACTTTTTTCTCCTTTGGCTAGTGCCGGCTGTAAGCGGTGCTCGTTTTGTACATCACAAAGTGCCTGAGAGATTAACTGTGACACACGGATAACAACAAAATCAAGCGCTTTCAACACATTTTCAAGCTCCACCTTAAAAAATCATGTTCTAATTAGTCATTTAAAATGCTATAATTAAATGCTATTAGGTCGACTCTATTTCTGAAACCTCACCACTTGGATGAACCAGAGCTCAGGTCTGGTCACTAGGCTTTCTGAATCTGCCTGTATGATCTCTTACTAGTTCAGTGTTTCTGAGCCTTTATTATACCAGGAAACACATCCCTAAGGTCCTTCTCTTTTTAGGAACGCTTAGGCTACAACATGGACAAAAAGGAAGACAACTCAATCAATAAAGCTGGTCCCAGCTCAATATGGCAGGGACAGTCCTCCCAGTGGACTGGGGTTTGAGAAAGGCGGCACTAGCCCAGGGCTCAGAGAGTTACAGAAGTGAATTCCAGACCGAGGAGAACTCTCGACCTGGTCTTTGGGTGTTTGCTTGACCACTCTGAGCCTCTGGGTCCTCTGTGCTTGAATCCCAGCATGGCCAGAGCAAAGCCGCCAGTATTGGCCAACCTGTGGTCATTATGTGGGTCATGTGGGGGCACAAGGAGGGTTTCTGGGTCACCCTCTACGGGCGGCACTGTGCATTTAATACTGAGGTACTGTATTCTCCAGGGCTTACTTCACTCTGTCTATACAAGCAGCCTGAAGACTGTTCACCACCTAGTTTTGTGAGAAAACATTAAATCCGGTATAAGGAACGTAGCAGCAAAGACATAAAATTGAAAATGGCAAATGTATGACCGTACATTTCTAGTGAGATTTGTGTCACTGTAATTCATCTCTTGGAATTTGAATTAAAGGCTTTTCTTTTTGTCTTGGAATATCATATTTAAAACCAGAATAAAGCTCTCAGCCTGAAAGCACAATGAGCGATAGCAAAGGCTCTCATAAACCATTAACTTCCACTTTGTGACCTTTCCATTTCCTTATGCCTACAAATGACTGGCCAATATTACATATTACAGTATGCTGAGCAAAAACATTGACGGATAAGTCAAGCAACCATGCCCCCGTGATAAGAAGGAGTGTTAAACAGCCGCCAATGGAAATGTCCTGATGGGAGCAAAGTAAATGTATCAGACACAGTGCCCTAAAGGTCAGCCATTACTTGGAAAATCTCATCATTCACTGTCATGTTGGATAAACACGTTTATTAAAACCATTAAGTTTTTGGTTCTGAATCATGCAACAAGAAAGTTTATGGTGATAATATGAGATGAATGACACTAAAGGATTAAGCCAATAGGAGATGTGGCAACCAATGTTCTCACTAATGTTTAATGGCCTGTGTGCGCAAAAATTTAGAGTTGTGCTAATTTGTTTCCCAGTCACAAAAACTTGTGCGCACTAAATTGAGTGTATGTAAAATTGTAAACCTAAAATAATGTTTTGTTAATATAGTCATTCTCATAGAAGCACAGAAATCCAAAAGACTGGGACTCAATGATGCCCAGTCATAGAGATTGAGTGCCGAGCGAGTATGAGCAGTGAGGTTCGAGACTATGAGAGCATAGATATTGATGATGGAGTAGCAGTAATAAGGCACACAGCCAGTCTCATGGTCAACTTAGCATTTTTCAATTGACAACCGTGTTTGTTTGATTATTTTTTTGTAATTTAATTTTTTGTGCGCAGTTCAATTTCCTATGTGCGCCGATTTCATAAACTGTGTGTGCACGCACACGTGCACGGCTCAGAAGGCACATTCGTGGCGACTGGCGTGAACATGCTCAGCTGGCCTAGGCAGTAATGAGATGGTTCCTCTTCTCACTTGGCATGTAGATTGCCTCTTGACAGCAAGTGTTCCCCAAGACTCAGTTAGAATTATCTAACTGCAAAACTGAGCTGGCCTTCTTTCAAAATGAGGTGGGATGAAGATGCTCAAAGAATAATAAGTTCTGCTGTCTAAATCCACTGCTCTGCAGCTGTGTCTTTGTTTACCAAAACAGGCACAACTCCTCTCTGGATTGTGCCTGTGAACAACAGGGGGCTTGTCCTGGGGTTTGGCAGGTAGCATGTGTCAGCTAGAAGGACTGCTTCTTGTACCTTTGAAAGCACTAAAGCAGCTAAAGCGCTAGACAGTGTGTTTTTCTCAGTCCTCTGCCAGGTTAGACACCAGGATCAATAAGCAGGTGTGCCATGGAAGGGAAAAATGTACGTCAATCTGGAAACACAAAGGGCATTTCCCTCGAACAGACCCAACGTCCAGCCAAGGCAAACAAATTAAGACCTGGTCCATCTGTAGAAGAACCAAATCAAGGCAGAGGAGGAGGAGGCAGCAGAGGGTAGGCCATGCAGCACATACTTGTCTCCCTTGCTCCGGGCGATGCCGATGAGTTTTTCAATGCCCCCAGCATCACGTAAGGCCTTGGCGTTCTCCATGTTTTTAGTTATGACTTCGTGCAGCGCACAGCAGATCGCGGTGACGGTGTCGTCGGACATGGTCTTGCCGGCGCTGCTGTTGGTGCTGCTGCTGCTGTTGTTGCCCCCGGGCAGACGGTGGACCAGATCCCGCATAGCATACTTGCCTTTTGGTAAGAGGCGGGAGAGAGGAGAGAAAGCAGACAGAAGGCATGCGGGGGTTAGTTCCCTTCCCATCATGCAAAGCCTCGGAATTGACATGCTACTGTATATGCTACTGTATATCCATTACAGGCCACATGGCACAACCTACTGCTGTCCAGTGAATGCTCAATGAAACTCAATGCAGTATCTTTCTTAGTAAAGCAATCCGTTCATTTTAATATTGGAAAACATTAATAGTGCTTTTAATGTTTTCTTTCTTTATTAGAAAGAAAAAAACCGACACTGCTTAAATCTAAAGGCTCGCTTGTTGTTGGTGTGGTATTGAAGAGATGTCTAGATCTCAAGAAGCAAGATAACCCACATTTTTGCTGGGGAAATAAACTCCAGACGGTAGAAACTAATGACAACAAAAGGAAACCTAAAAACATAATACATTAAAAGAATAGTGAAGCCCATGCATTTACAATTACTCAAGAGAGATGTGAGCTTAAAAAAAAAGCTTAAGAGACGTGAGAGGAGACATCAAAAAGATATTTCAATCCTTTCCTTGCTCAAACGAGAACTCAGATATTGAGAACTGCCGCTGGAAAGAATTTCAACAGGAGACATTTAGAAAAATTTAAGTTAAATACTGTATACCTGTACAACACAACCATGTACAACCACACCCTTTCCTGAGCATTTTCCAGTGCTGGACTCATGGTAGAAAATTCTCTTTCCTTCAAACTGTTTTGGAAGCTGTATCTGTGCTGACTAATGTGCGCAATACAGCATGGAAAATTACTCTTCTGGGTCCATTAAACATCTTCAGCCTCACCTTGGGAAGCTCAGCTACAGTACCTCAGCTCAGTAATAACCTAACGATAATGCCACTTCTTATTGTTCTTATTGAATCATAAAAACCTAATTTAGGCTGTACTTGAAAACAACATCACAGTGGAAGATGCTGCTCTAAACAGCTCACTTTTATGTTTCATAGTAATTAAAACCAAAAGTGAATGACTAATCACACACGACTCCTTAACAGGAAGACACACACAGGAGGACAATATAAACTTGGTTGGCTCTGTGTTTGTTCAGCCATTTGTAAAATGTTCACATAAATTATATATTGTACTTTGGGACTCTTTCTATTTTTGTTTTACCAGCTGCTTATAGCTATGATGGCAGTAATACTGGCATATCTTTTTCAGGTATAATCCACACTTGTATATTTTATCTACATGAATGATCTCATCCTGGCCAAAATGAATTTAGGTCGATGCTCTATACTGCTTGTGCTCTAAAACTTAAGTAGTTTTTTCTACAGAGAGCTCATGGAGCTCATAAAAATGACAGTAGCTAACCTTGTACAGTGGAAAGAAGAGAGAACCCCACACAATACTGCTGTTGATTTGAAATCAATCAACTCCCACCTTGAGTGGGAGCTCTCCTCCTTCAGTACATCTAGGGATGATATGTAAGTTCATCCTAAACTGGAGGAATATCTCCCACTACTGGAATTACAACAAAACCATAACAGTGCAATGTGCTGGGCTTCACAACAGCCCAGTTTCAGTAGTATGGTCCCTTTTACAGTATATAGCAGAATGCCTGTAATTTGAACTCTTATATAGTGTATCCACTCTAGTTTTTACATAGAATTTATAGTGAGCTCCTGAAATCAGATGAGACATACACCATAGTAAATATTAAGCTCAGAAACAACATGGGAAAAATGCTCATTTATCAGTTTGTACTTCCAGGCAGAATTATCTTGCCTGGGAAAACAATATGAGGGCGGGTACACACAAAATCTCATTTATTTTAGAAGATGTTCATGGGAAAGAGGGCTGAGAAGAATACTGATACTGGCTGTGCTGGCTTTGCTTTGCCTGTGTAATAAATTCAGATGAGCCACCTGGCTGTGTGCAGCATATACATCCTTCATCAGACATTGAGAATGTTCCTTCACATGCTTGCTCTCCTACAGGACACAGCCTTCCTAAAAGCTTCGTATTGCCTTATTCATATTACTCCAAGCAGAAGATAAAAACTTTATAATGCATCAGATTTTCATAATATTTGCTGATTTTCATTCCAAATAAAAAAAAAAAACAATCAATTGCTGTAATGTTTAGGAAAGTGTGAGACGCATACTGTTTAAATACAACTAATTTTGCTATCATCTATAGTAGGGCTACTCGACTTGTGGTTCCAATCCACTGTTGCAATACTTGGATGTGAACAGCCTTTTAATTGCTATATAGATCCTGCTAATTAACGATTAAATAATTAAGGATCCGGCCACAGAAAAAAAGCACATGCAATTTCTACGAATGTCACTGTCCACAGTATGTCCATGCTCAGGGATTAGATGAATCAGAAGGTGCCGATTAACCAGCGAGGTGTTTCGAGCGCTTCACACGAGGGCCATGTGCCAAGAGGAGTGGAATTCCTCCTCCTGAGTGGGCACAGCGAACACACGCGGGTGAAACAGGCGACCGGCCGCACTGCCCGGAGGACTTCAACCCCATGCATGTCAACGGAAGTGAGAGGACAACTGTGAAAAAGCTAATGATGGAAAATCCCTGAAGAGGCTGCAGAGGAATTATTAACCAGGGAGAGTGTGTCAGCTGGAGGTCAACAACACTTGGAAGAATTGCCAAGAGGCTCTTTCTCCGAGGTTCAAACAATAGGAAAAAAATAAAACTGCCAGATTAATACAGCCTAATGTAATTAAGACCTCAAGCGCTCTGTTACGAACTACAAGAAGTAGCAGAAGAAAATGCCTATATTTCTGTATATCACTTTAATGAAAATTGGCATTTGTTTTAAAGCACATGGGGGATGTTTCTGGAAAGAGAAACTGATGTAGTACATGGCTGTGTTTCAAACCTTTGCTGCACGAGACTCCAAAAACACCAAAAATCTGTAATGTCTTTAATTCCTCATGTCTGTGTTCATAAGATTTTGCTCATAAGCTGTGTCTGATTTTTTAAATTTAGTTCTGAATGATTTACGGATATACAAAACCTCCCTTGAAGCAGATCTGGTACTGAAATTCCAAAGTGACATGTTTTCCTGATTCAAGGGCATTCTGGGATTATTGGCGATAGTGGAGCAATGTGCTATGGGAACAGATGGATTATCTGATAAAAAGGAGTGCCACAGGATATGAATGTGTGAGATCTTTACTAGAAGAACAGGAAAACTGTGGCTGCTGGCTGCTCAGTGTGCCTTGCAAAGAGCTCATACAATGGTCATCCTGTTGAAAACAATCACCCGACATAGAAGAGCCTGTTTCTCAGGTAGTTCTGGTGGCCACCATGGAGCTGTGCTTGGCTTATTCGCAATGAAACCTCGATGTGTTGAGTGTGCATGGGGAAAACATGAAAATGCCAGTGTGTGTGAAACCCTAGGGTGCTGCTCATCAGCATCCTGTGAGAAACAGCACTGACAGCACCTGAGAGTGTAAAAGGGAAAAGTTCCGCCAGCTGAGATTCAATCATTCGAGTCACATCAGTGGGAAGACAGACAGACGTCACTGCCTGCTATGTAAGCAGGGGATATTCAAGATAGATGTAAAAAAAATCTGAACAGCAGAAATCAGTGAAACAGCCAGTCCCTGCAGTGTAGTGGTAAAAATAGCTTGTATCTCCAAGACGGGGGCTCTTTTCATCCCCCAGACATGAGACAGGGCCCACTCTGACTACGGAGAGCATGTGCATTTGGTGGCTGAGAAAGAGGAGAGTGACAGTGAGCAGGGAAGGAGACCTTCTGAAACATGTACAGGACACTTTAACAAAAACCAGAGTAATTCTGATGAGGACAGGTTTAAAAATACGCTAGTCGCTTTTCACATGAATTTTAAAGTAACTCAATAGGAAGATTTTGAACCCGCTGTGCTACAAGACCCATAGACATCAACTGACCCCCAGGCCTACACTTTAGGTGCAGTGCCATCCCTCCACCTCCAGGTTCAGATTCAGCACTGATTGAAAAGATCAAAACGGGTGCCGATTGAGCCCCTCCACAGGCACATGTGGGGCCCTCTTGGACTGTATTGCAGAAAATGAGCCACGAGAATTCGGACAATAATGCTCCAAAAGAAATATTAGCACCCCCTAGCAAAACATAACCTGGCACGTGGCCAGCAGACACCAGATTTTATTAGACCAAGCTACCGTGAAAACCTCGCCGGACTCTCTTCCACTGAATCTGGCTTTTAAGAAGAGTGAGGCTTGTTCTCACCATGGGCAAGGGGGGAAAATTACAGCCACATTCAAACCACTAGGTCCCCAAAGCTTAGCAAAATCATTGCACCATCTACAAAAACACAGACCACATTGCTTATCTGCTACTCCTAAGAAATACTTTGCATGTAATCCTTAAAAGATCTTCTGCACTGTTTTCCTCCTGTAAATTTCATCCCAGTTTCTGTAAACACCCTGCAGTTGTGTTAGGTATGGCAAAGGTTCTTTAATTGCATTTGTGTGCTCACTAGCCTTGCCTTGCAAGATGTTGCTGTTGGTGTTGATAATGAAACAAGGAATGTTAATTTAATTTTTGGGCAAGAGCCTGGTTCTATGAAGTAAATTAATTGAACATAAATTGTGTTTTCTGCATTAAGATCTGCAGAAAACACAATTTATGTGCCAGGGCACACTTCTCACTTGTCTTGCTAAGATCAAACATAAAAGGTAGAGATAGAAATCTGATTGAAAGAGATCAAACTCCTCCAAATGACAAGAAAGGTTAAATGATTTGTCTCTTGTTAAAAGCATATTTAATTAGGCTATTTAAAAATTGGGTCATTCCTGATAAAACTGATAAAACAAACTTTAAAGATAGTATTAAAAAAGTAAATTAACAAAAATTTTAACAGAGTTGACATAAAATCTTTCTACATGCAAAGAAAATAAATGGAAGTTAGAGACTGGCTTAAATGATATTTCTTCCATTCGTTCAATTTTATTGAAGTATTGTGTGCACTAAATAACCAATGAAAACAATGAAAATA